AAACTCCCTAAAAATTCGGTCAGTTTAATTGACTCAGTTAGCTCTCTAGAAGCTAAGATGGGAAAAGGGGGAATTGTTGTAGGAGAAGAAAAATGGGTCTAAATGGTACCTATGAAACGGTTAGTGATGGCGGAGGGAGTGGCGACGGCGCGTTCAATCTGAGTCATTTGTCCGATTTTCTCCTCAAGAGTCATCCTGGAAAGAAGGTCTTTGACCCTCTGCTCGACAGGGGCAGTTTGGTCCTTGTAAACGAAACTGGTCGCCATTCTTCTTCCCTTTGCTCCGATCTTTATCGCCGGTGTTACAGAATAGCTTCTGTAACTTCTGAGGAGTGGAGCTCCGGTTATGCGAAGAAGAGTCTCAGGTAGATGCATGAAGACGAAGACTGAGCTGATCTGGCAGTTTTATAGGTGCATTGTGCGGGACCCTCTGGATTCCGTGTTGATGTCAACGAATCATTAATTGACATGTGTAAACATAAAATGCGGGATATCAATATAGAACAAATGAACAATAAGGTTGTGTAATTACAATTAATGGGCAACATAACCAAATGCATGGAATTTTAATTCATCTGAAATCGCAGCTTTCATTATCATTACAAGTTTGAAACATTATTAACTCAGCTTATAATTTATAACCATAAATAATAAGACTTGGAATCTTGGATAGTTGGAGATGCATTGATGCACTCTTAGAGCCCGTATGGTAGCACGAAAATCGGCTGATTTGGCTGTTTCTGCTGAAATTTATGAAGTTCTGACTGAAGTGGCTGCATTGGCTGATTCTGCTGAATTAAGAAAATATATTTTTAAAATATATTTTATTAATAAAATAAAGAAAAATATATATCTAAAAATAGCTAAAATGGTCATCTACAGTAACTTCAGCCAATACAGCCAGAAAAGTAATTCCAACCTTACTTTTTCTGCTTATTACACAATTCAGCGCGTGAAAACAAAAGTTACGTATTTGCTGAAAAGCTGTCTGATAAGCCTAAGAAGCCGAAAAACAGCGGTTCCAAACGGCCTCTTAATGTAACTCCAATGTCCGTTTGCGTGTCTTTTTAGAGCATCTCCTATGCTATAATGTGCACGGTGCACATGTGACATGACAGATAGACACAAGAGATTGATTTTATGACATTTCTCTCTCCGTCTTTCCACGGTCTTATGTGTTTTTGGTAAATTTTTCTCTACAATGTCAATCACAATATCTACATCTAGACATTGTGCTTGACGATGTGAAGAAAAACTTACCAAAATGATATAAGATCCTTCAAATAAGGAGAGATATTTCATTTATTGTTTTTTGATTGGCTATTACTCATGCCACGTATGCACCGTTAAGATTTTAGCATTGGAGATGCTCTGATGTATGTTAACTTACCTTAAAAAATCTTTTAGGATACAATAGTACAGTATAACTTTAGATTAATTGACATATCTGCTAATTTATGGGGAAAAAATAATATAAAGTATATATTTTAATAATAAAATAGAGAAACATTTATATGAAAATTGTTAAAATGGCCTTCTACATTATTTCAGTCAATACAGCCAAAAAAGTAACAACAACCTTACTTTTTTTATTATTACACGATTCAACACGCGAAATCAAAAGTTACGTGTTTGAAGAAAAATTGATCGATAGCCTAATAAGCCGAAAAGCATAATCAATAAACGAGCCCTAAATGTTGTAAATTGTAAAATGGGATCCAACATGGAACAGATCTAGCAATCAGGGGCGGAGCCAAGGGGGGTCAGGGTGGTCAGCCGACCCCGCTGAAAGTTTGAGAGTATAGAGCTCTGAAATATCTTCGATTTGATATATTATGGCCCCCGTAACTCATTACGAGTACAAAGTTATGACTTCTGGAAAATCAACACTATCTAAACATAAAATTAGCAAAATTTGATGCATAATATTGATTATTTTCCCAAATTTTATAAATAACGTATAATTAACTCGTTACTTACGTGACATGATTCAGAAACAGAGCAAAAACAATCTATTTTATTGCTTACGAATGCCTTTTTATCTAAACTACAAATGAAATATTCAACCCGGACATTGTCTAAAAACGATCTACCATTTTCATTTTGTACATACTTGATTTTCGACCCCCTGACCTGTTTTTCTGGCTCCGCCACTGCTAGCAATAACAAATGATTTACTCCGTATAACTTTTAGGGCCACCTAAACACAACTAATGTATATAACGGTGTAGTGGGTTAATGAATAAACCTTACCCAATAAATTTATGAGATAAATTCAGACTCATATACGGAGTATAACTTATAAGAGTGGGTAAGATCAGAGATCACTCCTCCCATTGAAATGCTCTATTGGGCTATTGGACTAATATAAATGAAGGTAACAACCTAGTGGACGGCATTTCAGTAACTACTGTAATAAGTCGGCTACGATTTCCAAGAAAGACACCCAATTGGCCATGTGCATGCCCGTAGAGAGAGCATGTATGATTGCATGAATATGAATCAATTGTCCATACGAGTTTTGGGACTGGGAGTCCACTAGAGGAGTGGCCAGGTCTCAACAATGCCATGTTTTCAGCTTGTTATTACATTTTTAAGTTGCTAGCTAGTATTATGTTCTTTATTTCAATTTTTTTGTCAGATACCATATAGTCTGATCACTGTCACATTTAAAATGAAAGTCACACTCTGACTTTCATCTCAATATTGTTGAATAGATAATTAAGTACTACGTATTACAAATATCAAGGTTAACATTATTATTGAGGTGATATTGTAAATAGGTTAGAATATATGATTGTAAAAAAGTATTCCATTTTTTACGGTTTTGATTTTCATGTATAGTCTTATTTTCATGTAAAGTCATTGGATCATTTGCATATATTTTTACTATGCAAATATATTTACAGAACAATCTTTACTCTTCTATGTTTTCCTATTATCAATTTATGATGTTTTATATTTAGCCCATGCCCAACTCTCTCCAGTCTATGTTTAGAACAAAAGATCTAATGTGACACATAACTTCACTTTTAACTTTCTGCACCAATTTTATAACTTTGTAAAGACTAAATGCAGTTCAGATTAACGATATTAATCATTAATATTTTCAATATGATCTGTTTTTAACTCCGGATTTTTAAGTGTTTTAAAAACTAAATGTCATAAAGAGGAAACACAATTTTTTTTATTAGTCATGTCAATTAGCATGCTAGGCAATCACAGATGGAGTAAAATCAAAACAACCTAAACTCTATATAAGAATTATGATATTGTCTGTACCAACATCCCAACATTAGTACCCACCTCGGCTGTCATGAAGAGTAGATAAATATGCCAAAAGTAATGTTATAGGTATTTCGTTCCTAAGGATCATTTGGGCATACATGGTTAAAGTTATCAATGAGTCTTGGGCTGAAGAAATACTTGCAGGTTGTCTAGACCAAAAAACATAGGGCCTGCCTGGTGTGATGTCAAGCAAGATACTTGGCATAGCTTCATCCTAAGTAGCACCGGGACGGATACGGAAACGGAAACGGGGACGGAAACGGGGACGCAGAAACTCTAAACTCAAAATATGAAGATACGGGTACGGCAAGGAAACGTCAAACTAAAAATTAAAATTTTAGTAATATAGGTAATATTTACGTCCAACAAATATGATATAATTAAACAAAACATACTTTGTATCTCCTTGTTTAAACTTTAAATGCATTCCACAGGCATAAATAAAATGCAAAAAGTGAAAGCTTACACCCTTTCCAATAAAAACTTAGGAAACACTTTCTGGAAAGTGGAAACAATTAATCTATGGCTCGCCCACCGTTCAGCAAACCAGCATATGGCACTGTGCTGTCAAACTTCAGCCGTCCAGCATAAAAGGCACAGAGCACTCAACCAGCTTTCTTCTTCCCGTCGCTTATTGCTTCAACCTGTGTCGCTTTCTTCTTCTTCCGGCCGACTTAGGATTCGCAGGTAGCAGTCTCGCAGCGTCGCAGGTATTTCAACGATAGGGAGTGCGAATGATTTCCAATTTGTCCGACTAGTTTTTCTAAAAAAATATACGAGAAACGCCCAAGCCCATATCAATTCCCGTTTCCGAAACGTTTCCCTGACCTGAATCAAAAGCCCAAGCGCTCAGAAACGTTTCTCCGCGTTTCCCAGGTGTTTCCTGGCGTTTCCTGACGTTTCGCGTTTCCGAAACGTTTCCGGGACGGAAACTTGCCCTAGATTGCCGTTTCCGTGCTTCCTAGGCTTCATCTATGAGTCTTACTAGATATGTCTTCAAGAATCTTGAAAACAATGAAAAGTAATACATAAATGACATTGAATTGCTGTAATCTACTCTTGTCAGTGTTCATTATATTCCATATAGGCATATAGCTAAGATTAATTTAATATGTTACAACTTACAACAAAATTAAGCCAAAATGAGGAGGCTTTAACTGCATTTACATCTACAAAAACAAACCTAGTACAAATTGCATAAACATAGTTAAGGATCAATCTTGAAGGTTAGTTTACCTATGCTTCTATGCTCTCATTTGCATTTCACATGAGCCAATTTTAGCTTCATTAGCCTTCAGATTATGCTGTATTTTCAGAACTCATTGTTTTCTCCTCCGGCATTACTAAATCATCCACATGACTAGTTCTGCTTCTTTCCACAGAGGATTTGTCGATATTATCTAATTCCAAATGACTTGTAGCCAACTCCAATTTGGGCAGTCTATCAGTCTCTTTAACAGAGTCCATCTTTAATATCTCATCTGGGATAACCGATGTATCGGTGTGATTACTGGCACTATCTTCTTCAGGATACTCTTTGTGATCATGTGATTCTGAGTGATGTGCACTAGTTTCATGTTCGGGCAGACCATCCCTCTCTAAGATCACCGAAGGATTGTTATGATCATTAGTGCTTCCCTCCTCAAATGACTCGGGATTATATGATTCCAACTTATGGGCAACAATTTGTGGTTCGGTCAGACTTTCTGTCTCTTCAATAGAACTTGCATCCAGTACCTCCTGGATCACCCAAGGGTTAACAATATCATGAGTGGTCATTTGATGATTTCTGATTATTGTCAAAGACATGCAACAATCCATTTGTTTTCTATTCAAGCAAGGGAACACAGTTGAAGGCAAATATTTCTTCAAATATAGTTATGATATGAAAAAATGCAGCAAGAATTTTAAGTTATTACTCACAAATATGACTAAATAACGTTCCCCAAATATGCTCATTGATGGCTTCCCAAAATAGGGACCATTTAATATGGAGCATTAAAGAAGAATAGAATTCATTCATAATTATTTTTTAAGTGAATCCTTCATATTTTGGTAAAAGATGGTCATATTCGGAGAGAGGTAATATGCTTTATTCTGATTTAGGTTATATTTTCTTATGAAAATGAAATTATCACCAACCTGATTCCGTAAATAATGTGGAACCTCCAATTCTGTTTCCTGGTCCAAATGACGTGATTTTGGCAGGAACAATGATGCTTCTTCAAGATCAGCTGGAATATTACTATCTTCAGAAGTGTCCAACTCTGCACCTTGCTTTTCATGACTGTTACGCTTAATCAGCTCTAAAATGTCATTTTCCTCAGCCTTATTATCTGCATGTGTGGGTGTACACAAATCTGAATCTTGTTGGATCACTCCCTCCGGTGAAATGATTTGTGTGGGGTGAATACTTGAAAATCCAACTTCAACTAGATCTGGTTCAGTAACCTGAGGTGCTTCTCTAGACCTTGATTCATTTTGATCTAATCCTGATGAAGCCGCCCATACTGTGTCAGACGAATCTTTCTCATCCGTATCCCTATTGTACACTGAAATTTCTTCCTCTAGTGAAGAGGATCCATCAACAGATCTTGGTGGAGAACCAAGTTCAGATACCTCCACCTGTAAGTCAGAAGCAATAGAATGGCTAGGGGTAGGAAACATGGAAAATTTGGCAAAATAGTAATTTTCATCCATTCTGGCAATCTGGCGGCCTTCCTGACCAATTTCCTGGTTATTTCTTGGAGCTGGAGGTGTACTAAGTGACTTTATGATTGCATTTTTATCAATTCTGTAAAATGGCTCATCTTCTTCTGATTCTGAAGGAGATGAAGATGATGAACTTGTTCTATCATCATCAATATCTTCAATTAGTACTGATTTTATTTGAACTTCTCCGTTATCTTCTTCATACTGAGTTGTAGAGACTGGCTCTTTGATATTGCTGGGACTCACACAGTTCAACTTATCAGGTTCTTCAACTGAAACTTGCTTCATTAGCTCATCAGCGGCATCTTCCTTACCTGCTACGGAAAGTGTCAAAGCGTAAAACACAAACAAAAAGAAGTTACTTTTGCAATGACCATGCCTGGAAATAGCTATAGGCTTTCAAGGCCTTGGCCGAAATCCCCACTCTAAAAAAGGCTCAACAATTTCATAATCCCTGTAGTCCTTACCATAATATACATTTAACATAATATACATTTAACAGGATTCAATGGTCAATTTATATGGTTCTGCTTTTTCGTGTAAAGTATATATGATTAGTTTCCCATTTCTTGTCTCTTATAATATCATGTCCATGCTTATTTCTAAAACCAAATGTTCTAAAAGGAGCTAGGCACTAGTCCGGTGCCAGCCCAGGGCCTAGGCGGGGACTGGTTCAAGACACAAAAATTATATTATTATCAATATATTTGCATAAATATTATAAGTAATGTCGTATTTGTGTGTCTATATATATCCAAAGTCCAAACACGCACACACATAAGATGCACGAATGATAGAATCGTCACATTTTATAATATATTATAAATGATATAATCACTTAACTTCATTATGTAATCAATATTTAATAATAATAATTTAAGAATATATAGAAACTTATATAGTTTTTATCTTAATCTGCAAGTAAAAAAATGGTAGGCGAATCTAGACGCCATAGGCAGCCGATCAAGCGCTCTATGCGGCGGGCAAGTAGGCACCCTATGCAGCCAACTAATTCATCTAGGCACCAAACCAATCATTTGGGACGCCTAAACTAAAATCGGGCCGCCCGACACCGTCTAGCGCATAGGCGGGCCGGTACTAGTCGGGCACCTAGAGCGGTTATTAACAACGTCTAAACAATGCTTCTTTTAAAAGTTGTACTCTGTACTAATACATATTTGTAGAGTATTTGTATGGTCTTATTTTCATTGTGCAAGTTAACAAACACATTATGTTGTTAAAAGAATATACATAAACACTTCTATTATATTTTCGTAACAAAACTTGAATCATAGACTGCAAGTGTAATGACGTATCATTAGATTTCTAAAAAGAACTAGGAGGTAATTTAGCACATTGCACATAAGGACTTAATCAGAGGCAGGTTTGGTTGGTCGACATAATTTTTGAAGAGATGTCAAAGGAGGCATACAATTATTAGAAAAATGCAGAATGCAATCAACATTTGCTTACCAAATGGGGTTCTAGATCTGTAATTTTCAGAAGATTCAACATTATGCAGATCAACATCAGATTCAAACTCCCCAAAGAATGAGCCACCACCTAAAGCAAAGCTCTCATGCCTACAGAACATCAAATCTTGCTGAGGAACCATGAAGTCGTGCTGGAAACTACCTCCGCTAAGATTGGGCTTCTCTTCATGCTGATCATAAGGCAGGTCAAACGGGTTGCGGTTTTTCAACAAAACTGAAGGGGCGGAACCCGGGGCAGAGGGTGAAAAAAGACCACCGTTTGATGAACAGTTAGAATTCGTTCTTGGAATCATAATGGAAATGGGAGGATCATCGCTTCCCAGATTCATCAAAGTCCTCCTCACATGGATGCTCACCAGTCTTCTTGCTCTACGTCTCGCCATTAAACTCTCTAACCTTTTATTCCTTTCCATCTCAGAGAGATCCATCAGATTCTTCTTATTCTGAGGATGACCATGAGTTGTCCATTGCACACCACCCTTACTCCTCTTAACATTTTCTTCTCCGTTATCATCAGAATCATCATCCTTCATCATTTTAATCTCACCCTCATCTCTACTCCCCCTAAAAGCAGGCTTCTTTTGCCGATCCTTAGAAAAACGATCAAAGGAAGAGCAACATTCTGTCACAGAATGAACCTCAACTACTTCTCTGATATCCTTCATGTGATGTTGTTCTTCTTCTTCTGTCAGAGTACTTTTATCGAACACATGGTGGTCACCAAAACCTTCTGGTGGGAAAATTGAACCGCCATTATCCTCAACATATGGCGGGAAATCCTTCTTGGATTTCCGACGTCTGACAGACCGAGCACGGCCAACACATTTCTTTTTCTTCCCCACTTCATCTTCGATTTTCCCCCTATTCCCAACGTCATCTTTGGGACGTTCAGGACCGTATATCACTATAACTACAATGCCGGACATTAGAAAAATAGGAAGAGAGTAAATCAGGAACCAGAAGATTGATGAGAAGAACACATACAAGATGATGAACACGAAGCAAACAAATGAGGACAAGGGATGTTCCCTTACATATGTACAAATTAGTTTCATCGAAAATTCAAGAAAAATCCATAGATAGGTTTGAATGTCTTTTGAAGTCATCCCCATTTTCTATCTCAACGCAATACAACAACTTTTTGGAATCTTTGAGAGATATCGCATACTATAATTTACATAAAGACAAAATTTACAGGCTAATTAAGCTGGCTAGACTTTTACTTATTTATCATAAATAAAAGTCTAGGGATGCATAGAAATCAAAGTGCTTTAATTGAGATGATGCAAATATGAGACTGATTGGTTTTCTTTCCATGAAACCAATTAAATTTTTTGTTTCTGCTTGGATCCATGGAGAAGAATGTCCTACGTACGTACCTCCTCTGTTGCAGAAATGTCCCGTTTTCCCGCTGCTTTCGGAGGATCAGTCGGTAAAGGTTAGTTAGCATAAAAAAGAAAGGGATAAATTCCCACGACCCACGGTACTTCAATAAGAATATAAATTGATACGGAGTAATAGACTTCATGAATGACAAGGAAAAATAGGGGTGGGCAAATTGAAACGGATCTCAAATGTTTTGTTCTGAATAGGACTGTACTGGTTCCAAACAATGTCATGACCGGTTAACATAAAATTAGAACTTGTACCTGATCAAATTAGACCGAAGTATGATTTAGTTATTTAAATTTACATTATTTTGACTAGTGTCTTCGTACTTTCACAGCCTTTGCTAGTTCGCTGGAAGCTTGGTATCAAACCAAAATATGGTTTGATTATTTAAATTTGTATTATTATAGTTTATCTGAAATTTCTTAATTATGTAATAATTTCTTTAAAGTTATTAATTATGGAATATGAAAATCAATAAATTATGTGGATTTTTGGAGAATGACAAACTTTAATTACCTCTTAAACACTTGAAAAAATGGCATTGTTTGGTATTGGTGTGCATTGTACCGTCTCGTTTGAAAATTGAACCGTATCGAATAAGATCGAACCGAACCAAACCGTTTCAATATTGGACTGGATTGGACCATGCTCATCACCCCTAAAGATAAATATTTTTCATCTGACCTCTGAAAACATCTCGGATTTTGCACGGGGCCGGAAAGATATTTGATCGAAAGTGGCGTGGGTGAAAATAACTATTTGGGTCAAGCCATTCGAATGTGATAAAAATGGTCAAACTAGCTAAAATGGGTGATAAGCCATTACCAAAACAATCGTGGTTCGTATACACATTTTTTGAACGCATCATTTTAGATTTTTACATGTTGTTTGATTGTTGTGTTGCAGACAATTCGAACGTGTAAAATGACGTATAAACATCATTTTCCTTATCATAGGACTTTCATAGAATTTAATACTACCTATGTCTCACTAACATTAGAACTTGATAATGTGACACATTTATTATGGAAAATTGAATTATGTAATATTAAATCGCTAAAGTAAGAATAAAATAAGAATGATTTAAAACCACAGAAATTTTACTAAATTAGGTATGAGACAATATTAATGGGATGAATCGAAAAAGAAAGATAGGTTCATCTTAGCGGGATGAAGAAAGTACTGCATATGAGCATCTCCTAGGCCTGGGTTCGGTTCTTACTCAATAGTGGTGGAACCGTTACAAAAATTTTAACTAATAAAATCGATTTGGTTCTTATGTAAAAAATCAAGAACCGTGATGGAACCGAATTAATACTAAACGGTTCGGTTCTTGCTTTTATCGGTTCCTCGAATAATTTTTTTCTCATCTAGTGAATTAGCACATTGTTTGTTTTCTACAACATAAATATGTAAAAAAAATCAAAACACAAGTACTAAAATTTTATTTAAAGTTCTAATCATTTCAAACATCAAAGCTCAAACTTAAATAAGTGAACTCTTAATAGAATAAAAGAATATTTCAATTTTCGTTCATTTAATAAGTAGAACATAAAATCTTTGTTATGTGGTAACAATGAAGGTTGGTCATCATCACAGTAGGAAGATAGAACGTCCACTTCGAGTCTTCCAAAACTTAAAGAATACATTGAGTTTGCGTGTATTGATATAAAAGCATCATTACATCGTGTTTGCTAGTAGTATAATTTACAATATATCTAATAGTTACAAACTTACAAATACCGTGAAGATAGTGAAGTAAAATACTATCGTATATGCAATCAACTACAAGTTATTTGTGTTATTTTATATTTATAAAATTTAGGGGATGTAAAAAAAAACGTAATTTCTAAGGATGAGCTTAACGCATTCAATCTCATGTGCATTATTGATTACTTTTATTTTTGTTGGTTAAATTACAATAGTTGGCTAAATACCATTGATTGCACTATTATTGTTATTGTTGATATTATTGCTACTACTATCACTACTACAATTACAATTTTTATTTTTATTATTCCTTAACGGTTTTGTGCACATATTTTTTTATAGGAACCAGAAACCGAATCGTTAGTAACAACTAGGAACCGAACCATTAACAACTAATACCACATTTGTAGGAACCGAACCGAGTTATATCGGTTCGGTTCCAACCGGTTCTACGATTCCCGGTTCTAAAATCTCACCTCTAGCATCTCCAATGCTACGATGTGCACGATACACATGTTGCATGAGAGATGACCACATAATTATTAGCAAATAAATATTTGAATGATTTTCTACAATTTTGATAAGTTTTTCTCTATAATGTCAATCACAATGTCAACATCTAGATAGTCTTCTTGACAATGTAAAGAAAAACTTACCAAAATTGTATAAAATCATTCAAATAAGGAGAGAGATAATTTATTTATTAATATTTATATGGTTGTCTTTGATGTCACATATGCACCGTGCACATCGTTGCATTGGAGAAACTCGAAAAAGTACAATTTGTTTAGAGGTGTAATTCAATTATAATCACAATATGATTGATAGAGTGTATAACTACAATTTATATTTATAGTTAACCCTAATGAAATCCCTAATATTTATGATTGTCCGGAATTAAACTTGAATCTACCTATTATGTATGACACACCTATCAAATATATCAATCAATTCAGCTACGTTGAACCATTTAGATTTTAGGGGCGCCTAAATTCTTGCAACAATGTTACATATATATAAAACTTGGTTATTAAACACTATCCTTCTAACCACTATTCTTGGAATATAACACATTTTTCCCCATGCTTCAAGCATAATGAATACCCTCATGGGCCTCATCATTAGGTCGTCGTAATAAACTGTTTTGCCGTTTGCATGTAATATATTTTTGTGTGTTCATGAATTATGATACACAATCCAAATAAACTAGACTAAAGCTCAACATCTTCTTTTGATTTTCTAATAATCTTTTACCTTGAAACTTTTGTCACTTGTGGTAAACACATAAAGATAAATATAAAGTTACATTGCATTTTTTTCTTTGAACTAATTGTTTCATTTTGGCATAGATATAAGAAGTGACCAATGGCATTTATCCTAGTACTAGTATACTGTATATACAGTTTATAGAAATCCATTTGCTAAATACACAATCATAAATCATAGGGGAAAATAAATAATATACCCTAAACTTTGCATAGGTGTGTTATCTCCACCCCAAACTTGTCCAAATTGTATAAATATCCCATACTTTGTAAAATTGAGATGTTTATGCCCCATGTCCTACTAAACCACCTATGAAAGCACACATTTTCTTGGGAATCATTCATCTTTTTTTGCCAACTAAATCTATTTAACATGTTTTAATTTTCAGAAATATTATTTGATAATTAAAATTTGGTACCAAAAATTTTAAAAAATAAAGTTGAGGGTATTTTTTAAACTAGGACAAGTACAGGGTGGGGAGCTCATACCAAGGCAAAGTTCGGGGTATATTATTTATTTTGCCCTAAATCATAATATGATACGTAGTAATATTTTGAAATCTACTTTAAAATTGTTCATGATTTTTTACTATATAGCACCTAACTTATTGTTTTTAGCACAGGTTGAGTACTTGGGAATGCAAGGAATTTTGTTCATTAATTTCCGACCATCTGAATTTAGCTTTGTGGTCTCCTATTCAAAGATTCATCAGCATTCTTGCATTCAGGAAAAAAACTAGATTTCACTGTTTTTGGATTTCCATTTGTGCAAACCTCGTCTATTTAACTGAGCAATCTCAAAACACAAAGTTTGGTGTGATTTTAACATCAGAGAGAACTCAGTTTATAACCACCAAATCAAACTCAAAATATCAGTTAAAGAGAACAGGGAAATCAGTACTGCAACTCCAACCCCTTGGGGCGATGTTCACTCTTCAACAGTGACTGCTCTATGTTGTCACAGGTCACATTGTCACAAGTCTACCAACAAGTTTCACAGTTTAAACACTCTTTATTACATAGGGTTGTTTGGAACTGGTTCTTCGTCTGGTTCTTTTTTAAAGTAGAAGCAAAATCAGAATCAATTTTTAGAAGTTGGTCTCCATAGCTTCTCAAAAAACTGATTCTTGGAGTAAACTAGAGTATCAGAAGTATTTGTGCACTTTCACCCAAACACTCCAACTTCTACTTTTGTTCCTTGAAGAAGCAAAAACAACTTTAAGAATCAGACCTAAACACCCCATAGTTCTTTAAGCGCATACTTCCCTATTTATACACCCCCATAGTTCTTTGTTAGTTCTTTAAGTAATTCCTTGTTTTATACCCTCTTCGTCCCTATTTAAAAGGCTCACTTTGATTTACACACAATTTAAGAAAATGACACTATTTGGCACTGTTTGGATACCGCTCGGTAGTGTTGGACCCGGTTCGGGCCACCTGGCCCGGGAACCGGCCCGATACGGTGCGTGCCCGGCCAGGCCCGGTGTACCGGTTTTGAATTCGGGCCTAGACCCGATCCCGGGGGTTAGGGCGGGGCGGTCCCGTTTCAGTCCCTTCTTTGGAACCGGCCCAGGCGAGCCCGGGCCCGGTTCAGGCCTTTTTTTTTGTTTTTTCATTGTTTTGAGCTTGTTCCTGAGTTGGGCTGGGTGTTTGGGGGGGGTTGGGGGTGGGGGGTTAGGGGTTAATAAGAAAAGCAAAAAAAAAAAAACTTTGGAATCGGTCCGACCCGGACCCGGACCGGACCCGGTGGTAACCCAGGCCAGTCCCGGGCCTTCTACCGAAAATTAAAAGCCCGGCCGGGCCTAGGCCTGACCCGGCCCGAGTCCATGACTACCGCTCGGCACTGTTTTATTTATCAAATAAGAAAATGGAAGATTTTTAAGGGACAGAACGAAAAAGAAAGTGAAATGTTTATTTAGGGACGGAGGAAGTACTCCGTGGGGGACTTCTTTATCATCAAAAATACTTCAAAAATGCTAAAGGTACCCCAACTTGTACCTCATTTTGTACCCCCACCCCTATTTTGTGGTCACAATTGGAGCAATACTTTTAAGTGGGGCAACACTTTTAGGTGTGACCTCATTTGAACCACACAATGTATGGTGTAAGAATGGGTACCCCAAAATGGGGTACCCCACCCCTACTGAATCTTTACAGTTACAGCATACACGGCCTTTCTATCCGAAACATACAAGATTGCAATTATGCCATTACTCAGCCTAAGATGCTCGAAAAATGCTTCCAAGAAAAGCTTGTTTCTATCTTTCAAGCAAGAAAATGCCTTCAGTGCATACCATCTAGAAAACACATTTTTCATCATGAAAACGCATTCAATTCTATATAAAAATGATTATATAGAGATGTTGTTCTTTTAATTTCAGGTAAAAGTTACATTTATTTTTATTATTACTCCAATATTAATCAACACATAGTCAAGTAAGTTACTGTTTTGTGGATCATCTACCATTCTACCTAGCTGAAAAGAGAAAAAATAATACGTGTAAAGCTTCAAACAGGAACTAATATCATACTGCATACTCACTTAGCAGGTAGCAAACTTGCTTTTGCTGCATAGAAGGGAAAACATAAACAAATAAGCATCAGCATCTCATACAGAAGAATATGTACATGAAATCGCAGTCCACAATTTCCGAAAAGATACATACTTCATACGGAGTAAAAGATTCAAAGTCTCATCACTGTTTTTCATCACTAACCAGTAAAATTTCAGCGCCAGAAGCAATTCTTCCATCCAAAAACTTCCTAACTTCTTCTATATCTTCAAAAGCATATGGAGCAGAAAAATCGCTGTCCAAATTATACCAAACCCCCTCAATTCTTCTCAATGCAATCCAATGCCTGGACCTCCACAGGCCAGCAAACCTTCTGACAGGTACATTTACTATAATACCCATAATTTCACCACCAAGTTCAATAGCGGAAGCTCCCATTCGCCGGTCATGCCAAACTACACCCTTCCCTTTTCCTTCAAGTGCAGCAATCAAAACATTTATGTCATAATTCCCTGTGATAACATTATGATGATGCTTAAAAACCACAGAACTTGGTGACCATCTTCCCTTGTTTGGATCATCAATATCCAGTCTTTCGGAAATGGAATCCAAATCAGCTCTAGTAAATGCTTCCCTCTTCAAAATTACAACAGAAATTAAACAAACATAAATACAATTATAGTATAGCATATATGATTATCAGGAAATGGGCTAGAAACCCTAATTTAACTGAAGACTGTTTTTTAATGGAATACCAATTCAAAGTCTATCTAATTCATAATATTCAAGATTATGTCAAATTGATGTTATCTTCATTCTTTCTAGTAATCGAAGAAAGAGGCTTTTTTTAAATATAATGGATTAGATAAAGTTTTTCAAAATTGGGAATTAATACGCACGCATAAAGCAAAATAATGACACAAAATTTAGGAGGAAAGTTAAGAAACGTGAGAATTACAAGTGTACCTGAAATAGATTATTGAGGGAGTGTAAGAGGCAGAATTGTAACCTCTGTCTCTCGTGATATATCTGAGCTCCATTTCCATCTTCCATCTTTAGGTTCACTGCTGCATCTAATCAATCCCTCAGATAGTACATAAACTAGAAGAATTGCCTGAAATAGTCCAGACTATTCTGTGAGTACTAGTCCTGAGCCAAATTTTTTCGGACTTACGGAGTATCACCCTACGGAGTATTTTCTTACAAACTGATTTTTCTAGGGAAAGTTCTAGAAATAACGCTAAAATAGTTTGAAAATTCCAAAATATGATTGTCGTGTTTTTTATTCCCAAAATATGAGTAATTACTGCCAAGTTTGGAAAAATATTGTCATGTTTGAAGTTTGGTACTGCCAAAACATGACAGTAATTAGTCCTATTTTGGGAATAAAAACATGACAGTCCCATTTTGGAATTTTCAAACTTTTTTAGTCTTATTTCGGGTAATATTCTCTTTTCTATTTAACACCTACTAATTAATTTTTAACTCCGCATGTTGTTACGATTTTAACTATATTTCATACTCCCTCCGTCCCAAATTATAAGATATTTTTCGGTTTACGATGTTTGACTGCCGATAAAGCAAACAGATCCCTGTCTGCACTCAAATTATTTTTAGAAAAAAAAATTATATATTTAGAAAGTACATTAAACCCGCTACAAAACCTTCAAAAAATAATTCAAATTTCATAAAATTTTGATGTATAAAGTAAGAGATTAAGAGTGATTTGTGTTGACCAAGTGAATAGTAAAGGTATCTTATAAAATGGGACAGAGTGAGTATAATTTTTTCTTAATTTTATTAATAAAATATATTTTAAATAACTAGCCACTATGTTTATGCCTTTTGGAAAAGAAAGGAGTAAAACTCTCAATCTATTTAAATTAGAATATTCACCAGCCACTTCCAATATATGGTGCACTGATACTTCACATCGATGTTGTATCCGCGTATTTGATATGTATCAGATATCGATACATACAATACATGACATGTACATATTGGGTTCAAATTCTTAATTTAATGAAATCATTGTACTTATTTTTTTAAAATATAAACACTTCCGACACATGTATCCGTGTAAGTATCTGTGTATCTAATCATATAAATCTGATGTCAGACATGAGCTGACGAGAATAGAGTAGCCGCTCAGGCGACCATAAGATGTGAGACTTTGGTGGAGATGATATCAAGAGTATGGGAGATATTGGAATATACTTGAATTTATCAATCTATCACTTGATGAACCCGAATTGAAATCAGCCTTGTTGATGGACTTTGATGTGAATGAAAATAGCGATACGGATATTTAAATTTATTCATCAGCACTTCAATTTATTTTGAAGTCTAATATTTGAATTTTTTTATGATTGTAAATTTTTTATACTATTATTATTTTGTGTAAACCTCTCCATTATACACATTTTCAAATGATACCTTCTATTGTTTTATTATTATTATTATTATTATTATTATTATTATTATTACTATTGTTGTTATTATTTTTGTTGTTGTTGCTGTTGTTGTTATAATTATCTATAAATCTACCGTTGTACATGTATCCTATAATTCTTGAAATTGTCCTATTGTTGTGCCCGTATTCACGTATTGGTGCATCAGCGTGTCTGTATCTTTGCAACACAACTTCCAATTGATTAGGTATAGAAAAAGGCTTAAATACGTTTTTAGTCCCTGCAAATATAACACGTTTTGTTTTAGATCCCTGCAAAATATTTTTCTTTTTTTTTCATCCCTGCAATATGCACTATTTTTTTTAGTCCATATCGAATTCTGAAACTACTTTACTGACAAAAAAAGTTATTGCCGGTTACATAAATCTACTAGAAATATGTAAATTTGTCCTTTTATAATTTTTTGAGGCTAATATGAGTGTTAAAATAAGGTAAAACTAATTATTCACATTTTAAATATATAAAAAAAACTTCTAAAAATTAAAATTTTATACTTTTTGAATAACATGATAAAGAATTAGGGAAAAACTATTAATCGGGATTATTTTGAGGTCAAATGAAGGTTGTTATCATGAGTGATAGACTAAAAAGAAAACCAACATTGATTGCAAGGATGAAAAACAAAACAAAAAATTGCGGGGGTGTAAAACAAAATGTACTGTATCTGCGGGGACAAAAACATATTTAAACCTAAACAAAATTAAATAGAGGTTTTCTTTTTCTACTAATGAACATATTTTTTTGTATCTAAGTGTGTTGAGTTTTACTCTTTTCTTTTTCGTGTTTATTTGTTGAAGCACTCTTTAACTTTTTGTTCAAGATACATAGCATTCATGTATCTTGAACTTTATGGTAATGCACAAGGTATGACCTAAGAACAGGCCCGACCTTGATATTTTACGGGCCCGAGACAATACATAGAGTAGGCCTTGGGGACAACGTGTAAACGTTTATATTTTTTCTAAGAAACTATTCCGAATAAGTAAAATTAAGCAAGTTTACCATCTAAATCTCCCTCCGTTCCACAATCAAGTTGTCACGCCCCGGACCTAACCGGACACGTCAACAATCCGCCGTACAGTACGAATAGTCAACCGCAGTCCAACACATCCATACTATACAAGGCGTCTGGAATATCATTCACACATAGTACATCCATAAACAAACATAATGTAAAATATTCATTCAAAGCAGCGGAAACATTTAATACAAGTGTTCGTGCCACACTTTGGCAAACATGGGCATACAAGCCCCCAAATGATTATTCAAAATGTAATATCCATGAGCATTAATTTAAATGTTTTTAAAACAGGAACGGAGGAAGCACGAACCACGTCTTCCTTCCTTGAATTCACCCGGAGCAACGGGCACTGGTAGCAAGCTCAGCTCCTACCTGAAACTGTGAGGTGGCCTCCCCCGTGAAGGGGAGGTCAGTACTTGGAAGCATTTGACAAGTACAATGACAACTATACTAAGTATAATCAATGTTTCAATTTCCAAGACCCTCAATCTAGGGTATTATTATCTCATGATTAACTTTATTCGTTTAGTGTCATTTCATCATTTCTTACCACGGTCTAGAGCCCAGCTCAATAATCACCGTTACCTACTACGGTCTAGAGCCCAACTCAATAATCACCGTCATCTACATCGGTCTAGAGCCCAGCTCAATAATCACCGATAACTACTACGGTCTAGAGCCCAGCTCAATAATCACCGTTATCTACATCGGTCTAGAGCCCAGCTCAATAATCACCGATAACTATTACGGTCTAGAGCCCAGCTCAATAATCACCGTTATCTACATCGGTCTAGAGCCCAGCTCAATAATCACCGATTCTTTATAATTCGATTTCTTAGGATCCATTCATCCATTATTCAACTATAATTCCAACTAATATTTCAATACTAGTTATTTACTCATTTCAATGTAATTCTTCATTCAATATGTAGTTTGACCTTAATATCAAAATATCACTTTTATTCTTTCATGGCTTCTTCTCATGAATTAAAAGCATACTTATCACAATGAAATTTATGGTTGATGCTACTATCATGCCATCATATTCATAACATATAAACATACACAATTTATTCAATAAATTTGTATATTATGCAAACTATACTTATAATCAATAGAAATTTCGTATAGACATTATTAACCATTAATAATCCATGCAAATCACATTGTATATTCATTTAGGAAATCTTATGAAATTAACCCAAAGGTTATAAGCAATATAGTCGGTCATCCTCACCTTAAGTGAGCTTAAGCGCGTTCTACGCTCCCCGGTTGAACTTTGACTAATTCCGGTGAACTTTGACCAACTCCGGCGAACTTTGACCAACTCCGGCGAAACTCTGGCGAAGCTCCAAAGTACTTTAATCAAGTTCCTAACAAGGTTTTAACATCATAAAACCTTAATCAATACGAATAACCTCTAAAAGGTTATTTTCCGGTGAACTTGTCGGTTTGGCTCCTAAGTCCGTTTTTGGACTTAGAACCCCCTTCCAACCCATCATTCTACACTTAAATCATGTGGAACAATTCTCAATGTTCTTCATATGATATATATCTCATATGGTAGAAGAAAAATAAAGGAAAAGCTATGATAAGGCCATTACCTCAACCTTTCTCACTTTTTCCTAGCTTTTCTCCTCTTGAAACACCTTCTTTGGACTACTTCTCCTTGAGCTCGGTTCTTGGCTATGGAGGATGAGTTTGCAGAGCTCTTTCTCCCCTTTTCCTTGGTGCTGGCCGAAGTGGTTGAGTGAGGAAGGAGGGGGGTGGGTTTCTTTTTGTCTCTTTGGGCAATTATGGGTGAGATGGGTCCTCTTACATGTCAAACATGTTTCCTCCATCAACTCAAGAGTATTCAGCCACCTTTTGAGCTCAATCAATCCCCTTTTTGGTTGACAATTTCGTGGGGTGTCCCCCACCTAAGTGGGAGGTCATCCCAATTCGTCCCGAAGTGTACAATCGGTCCCGAAAGTTGTATTTTTTTGGACTGTTTTAAATATATTTTATTTTATCGGGTCAAATAAAATATATTATGTGTTCTCCATCATTATAACCCTTATAATGAATATTCATTCCCCAATTTGAATTTATAAGTCCCCGGAATTAAATTTCGGGCTTTTATCGGTTAAATTGCCAATACCGGTATTTGGGCCTCTTTTGACCAATCGGTCAACCCAAGACCTTTCCATTGTTCAAATGAATTATCCCCAACCATATAAATATTATCTAGACCAAGATGAATAATTTATGTGGTCCCGGGAATATCGGGCGGCCCCCGCTCCCGGTGCGGGCCCCACGTGCGAACTTACTATTCACGCAAAAATTAATAAAAATTCATAACCTCGTAAATTCGTCAACCATTCCATAAGGTTAAAATAAAATATTCACTTTAAGAGTAAATACATTTGGGGACGGTGTTACAAGTTCACCCCCCCTTATTTGGGATTTCGTCCCCGAAATCCGCGTGTCTAATCGAAAAGAAACGGGTATTGTTCCCTCATTGAGACCTCAGTCTCCCAGGTTTCTTCTTCAACTCGATCACTCCTCCAAAGTACCTTTACCATCGGAATCTCCTTGTTCCTTAGTTTCTTCACCTGTTGACCCACAATCTTTACCGGTTCCACCGCATATTGTAGATCTTCACGTATCTCCACCGGTGGCTTTTCAAGAATATGAGACGGATCTCTCACGTATTTCTTGAGCATCGATACATGAA